CAGGTCAAAGATGCTGAGTTCATATTTGAATTATTAGTTAGCATTGTTGAGGAGATTGGAGAACATTTGGTTGTACAAGTTGTGACAGATATGCAAGTGCTTATAAGGCTGCATGTAAAAACCTTATTGAGAAGAATAAACATCTGTATTGGACTCCATGTGTTGCATATTGTATATATTTGATTCTTGAGAAGCTTGAGGAGCTGTCTCAATACAAGATTGCACTTACTAAAGCAAAGAAAATAACCAAGTTTATTTACAACAACTCTTGGGTTCTAGCTCATATGAGGAAATTTTCAAAGAAAGAAAATTTGACGCCAGCAATAACAAGATTTTCCACCAGTTAATTGACCTTAGAGAGTAGGCTTGATGCTAGACAACCTTTAGAGCCAATGCTCACATCTACATAGTGGTTGAATTGTGCTTGGACGAAGAAAGCTTAGGGAAAAGAGGTTAGAAAGATAGTTTTAAATGACAGATTTTGCCAAAGTGTCTTATACGTTATTACAACCACTATATCTTTGGTTCAAAGCTTTAAGGATAGTGGATGCAGGGAAAAAGTCTGCAATGAGTTTCATCTACAATGCTATGGATGAAGCTAAAGAGATGATTGTCTGTAACTTAGGAGGCGAAGATGGAAACTTTAGAAAAATTTGAAATATTATTGATGATAGGTGGGAACACAACTTCATCTACACTTGCATGCAGCAGACTATTACTTAAACCCTCATTATCAATATGCAGAGAACAAGTCTACAAATCCTGAAATAAAGTTAAGATTATATCATTGCATGGATCGACTAATAAGTGATGCAACTAAAAGATCAAATGATGAGATGAAATTAGTACCTTTTAGGAACAAAGAAGACATATTTGGATTACAAGCAAATGATACAATTGCCAAACGATCTCCAGGTAATTTCATTAAATGTTTTAAACATTTATTTAAAAATTGTTCTTTGAGCATTAATTAAACTCACTTATATAAATCATAGTTGAGTGGTGGATTCAGTTTGGTGATGAGACTCTAGAATTATAGCACTTTACTGTGAAAGTTTTGGGTTTCACATGTTCTTTATCTGACTGTGAATGAAATTGGAGTACTTACAATCAAGTACATACAAAGAGGAGAAATCGTTTATCTACATTAAGGATGAATTGCTGGTATACATTATGTATAATAGGAGACTCAGAGACAAGAATTTGAAAAAAAAAAGGATTAATTGATGATGAAGATCCTTTGCATTGCGAGAATGTACCACCTGATTATGAGTGGTTTTTAGATGATGAAGTTGAAGTGATACCGTCTGAATTACAAGATGATGATTTACATGTTAATTTTTTTGATGGTCATAAAGTATTTACATCCACTATAACTCAAGAACAAATAAGAAAAAGGTATATAAATAATATAGTTTTCTTAAATTTTTATTAATGTATTACACTATTATTAATTCTGATATTGTTCAAAAATATTTAGGGAAGTGGAAGATAATTGATTTTTATTAATGTGACTACATCAAGTGCAAATGCATACGAGCTGTTATTTGAAGTTTGTTGCACATACAACAAATTGTTTGTGAGCGAATACAGAAGCACTGCAACAGATGTAATCATCTACAGCTAAAGCAGGAGATTCGTTAGTGCATATCAATCCGCCTTCCGAAAGCAACAAATAATGCACGACAGTCTACCTGTACAATGTAGCAAACAACTGATCCAAAAGCTGCTACAATGCTACGCCACCGGATCTGCAACATCTGTACAAGCAGACAGAAGGCGTCTATAAATATTCCAAAAATACCCCCCGCACGTGTACAATAGTTTGTATACACATAGGCACACTAAAAGGGGTAAATGTAATCAAATACCCGCATGGGCCCCGGCGAGCGTGTTATTGGTACACACGTGACGTCTAGGGATGCTGCGCGGGTTGACAAGTGAATTCAGGTTCGAAACCGATCCTTCTATACGGGTCAATAGAAGTCGACAGGATT